GAGGGCGATGTTGCTGTCGTTGACCTCGGGGTCATTTTGGATCACCCTCCGGGTGGGAAAGGGTGACTTCCGTAGGAGCTTTGGCTTCAAAACCGTAGCAGAGGGAGAAGGGTGTTTCACCTGTTGCTCGCCGAGGGGTGGTGCGGTAGGCCCAAAGGATGTTGTGGAGTTCCTCCACCCAGCCACTGCCCTCGGCCTCCAGCTTCTTTTTGAGGCCCTCGAGCAAGGTCCGGTTGGCATTCTCTACTTGCCCGTTGCCTTGAGGGTAGGCAACGGAGGAGAAGGTGTGTTTGATGCCCCATGCCTCCAGAAGGGCACAGAAGGGGGCTGCCTCAAATTGCGTTCCGTTGTCGGAGATGATCTGCTGGGGGACGCCAAACCTTGTGAGGATGTTCTTGAGGACGAAGTGATGACACTTCGCCTCCGTGATACTGGCGAGGGGTTCAGCCTCCACCCACTTGGTAAAGTAGTCGATGGCCACAATGATGTATCTGTTGTTGGAGGTACCCCTCGGCAGAGGGCCCACAAGGTCTATCCCCCATCGAGAAAAAGGGACAGATGTGCTGATGGGGGCATAGTTGACCGCTGGTCTGCCGGGGGCTTTCTGGAAATGTTGACATGCGGTGCACCTCCGGGCAAGGTCAGCACAATCCCTGGCCATGGTTGGCCAGAAGTAACCCTGGAGAATGAGCCTTCGGGACATGGAGAAGAGTCCCTGGTGAGCTGAGCAAGTGCCACTGTGCACTTCCTCCATTGCGACCTCGGCCTCATCTTGATGAAGGCATCGAAGTAACGTGCCATTGTAAGATCGTTTGTAGAGCCTTCCATCTTCGATGGTGTGGCTAGGAGCCCTCAGCTTTGCCAGTTTGGCGCGGGTCTCATTCTCGGGTAGCTGCCCTGCGGAGATGAAGGCGGTGATATCTGAGATCCAATCCTCTTGACGTTGTTGTATGTTCATAACGGGGCTTGCATGGATACTTGAGAGGCTGAGTTCCTCAATTTTGGCAATCTTGGAGATGTGCTCGGGGGAGTCGGCCGAGAGCTTAGATAATATGTCGGCCTCGGAGTTCTGAGCCCTCGGTATTTGAGTGAGAGAGTGTGCCTCAAATACCTTAAGCAACTCCTTGGCCGCTTCCTTGTACTGTTTCATTCTCCCCTCCTTAGCCTCATATTCTTCGGAGATTTGGCCAACGACCAACTTGGAGTCGCATTTGATGTGGATCTGCCGAGCCCTCATGTTGGCAGCCAGCCGAAGGCCACATAGGAGGGTCTCATATTCGGCCTCGTTGTTGGAGACTTTGAAGGAGAAGCAGATTGCATAGTAGGCTCTGAAGCCCTCGGGAGTAATGAGGACTACCCCTCCCCCGCATGCTTTGGTCGCGGAGGAGCCGTCAGTGTAGAGGGTCCACCAATCATCCGAGGCAGCCGAGGGCTCCCCGTCCGTGGCTTCCCTTGCGGTACACTCCGTTACAAAGTCCGCCAGGGCTTGGCCCTTGATGGCAGGCCTTGGACGGATGTCAATGTTGTACTGGCTCAAGAAGATAGCCCATTTCACCATGCGGGAGGAGCTGGTGGGGCTTCTCATGAGGGCGCCGAGGGGTTGATGAGTGAGGACCTGAACCGGGTGAGCCTGAAAGTAGTGGCCCAACTTCTTGACGGTCCAAATGATGGCCAACACCGTTTTCTCCACAGGAGAGTACCTGAGTTCGGCCTCCCTTAGAGTCTTGCTAACGTAGAAGATGGCATGTTGGATGCCGTCTTCCTCCCGGATGAGCACAGTGCTGATGGCCGTCGGGCTGACCCCAAGGTAGAGATAGAGGGTCTCCCCTACCTTTGGTTTTGAGAGCACAGGGGGTGAAGATAGATATCGCTTGAGTTCGTCGAAAGCCCCCTGGCATTCCGGAGTCCATAGAAAGCCAGTCGTCTTCCTCATGATCTGGAAGAAGGGTAGAGATTTCTCCGCTGATTTAGATAGAAAGCGGTTGAGGGCTGCCAGGCGGCCCGTCAACCGTTGAACTTCCTTCACATTGCGTGGGGGCTCCATGTTGATGATGGCCTGGATCTTCTCGGGATTGGCCTCAATACCCCTTCGGCTCACCATGTAGCCCAAGAATTTGCCCCCTTGGACGCCGAAGGTGCACTTCTTCGGGTTTAGCCGAAGGTTGAACTTCTGCATGATGGCGAAGATTTCCCGGAGGTCGTCAGCATGGCTGGAAGATTGCTTGCTCTTGACGATCATGTCGTCAACATAGGCCTCCATGGTGCACCCTAGGACGGATTGAAAGACCCGGGTCACCATCCGGGTGTAGGTGGCCCCTGAGTTCTTTAGGCCGAAGGCCATTACTAAGTAGCAGAAGATGCTCTCGGGAGTCATGAAGGTAGTTTTTTCGGCGTCCTCCTCGTGCATGAAAATTTGGTGATACCCTCGGAAGGCATCGAGGAAGGACATGATCTCACACCCTGCGGTCTCGTCCACCAGTTGATCAATATTCGGTAGAGGGAATGGATCCATAGTGCACGCCTTGTTGAGATCGGTGTAGTCCACGCACATGCGGAAGGTAGGGGGCTTCTGTGCGAGGACTACATTTGCTAGCCATGAGGGATATTTCACCTCCTTGATGTGCTTAATGGAGAGGAGCATGGCGACCTCCTTCTTCACAAATTCCCTCCTCTCGGCGGAGAGGGGTCTTCTTCGTTGTTGTACTGCTTTTGCCGAGGGGTCCACCGAGAGGCGGTGGGTGATGACCCTTCGGCTGATTCCCGGCATGTCCTCCGGCCCCCATGCAAAGACAGTGGAGTAGGCGCGGAGGGCGTCGGTGATACCGGTCTTGAGATCTTCAGGGAGCTGGGCTCCAATCTTCACGACTCTCTCCGGCTGGGCCGGATCGAGCGCAAAGTCTTCTACGTCCTCGGCTGGTTCAGCCCTCGGCCTTTTTTCTTCTTGGTCGATGGTTCCGATGATGGTGTCAACACGGAATTCCATCTTACTTACCTTCTTAGTGACTTGAAGATAGCAGACGCGGGCGATTTTCTGATTCCCCCGGGAGTAGCCAATGCCCCTCTCGGCGGGGAACTTGAGGCAGAGGTGCCTCATGGAGATGATGGCCTCGAGGTCCTCCAGGGATGGCCGGCCGAGGATAATGTTGTGGGCACAGTCGATGTTAACGACGACGAACTCCACTTCGAGCTGGGCTCTATGGAGCCCGTCGCCGAAGATCACCGGGAGGGTTATTACCCCCTCGGAATCAATAGTGTCGCCGGTGAAGCCGGCCATAGGGGTCTTAATGGGCCGAAGGGACCCCCTCTCCAGATGCAGCTCTCTGAAGGTGCTGAGGTACATTACATTGACGGAGCTGCCCGTGTCAATGTAAGTTCGGTGAATGATGGTGTCGTTTATTTCGGTCCGAATCACCAAGGCATCCCTGTGAGGAGAAGAAGTAGGAGGGAGATCTGCGTTGGTGAAGGTGATGGGTTCCTCCCTTAGTCGCTTTACCGGGGGCATATGAGTGACTTCCCCCACGTAAAGCGATTGAGCCCACTTCTTTCGCTGGTCGGTGGAATCGCCCCCTGTATTGCCACCGGTGATCATGAGGATGTGGCGTTTTTTCTCCTGGTAGTGGGGGTACTCCTCCTCTTCCTCCTCCAAGTTTCCGATCTCCCTCTTCTTGCCGAGGGGGATGGTGTTCGGGTTCACCCAGACGTTTACCTTCGTGTGGTGCCCTCGGGGAGGTCCCTGATGAGAAGGCCCCTCCTGCCGAGGGCTCTGAACAAATTGGGACAGGTGCCCTACTTGTATTAACCTCTCGATGGCCGTCTTTAGCTGATGGCAGTCATCGGTCCTGTGCCCCTGGTGCCGATGGAAGCGACAGTATGGGAACTGAGGGTTGATAGCATGTACCTCCGGGGGTGCGCGAGAGTCGCGCTCAACGAGGCCCCTCTCCTCGGCAAAATCAAGGATGATGCTGACGGGGTGCGTCAATGGTGTCCGAGGGCGGTCCAGGAGAATGGGCTGTGCCCAAGTCTTAGGGCTGCTCTTATAACCTCCCCCGGGCTTGGCTTGGCCTTGCCGAGGGCGGTCATCAGAGGGTCCTGAGGCCTTGGGGTGATTTGGAGGAGCCCCCGGCCCCCGGTTGTTTTTGTTGTCAGCCCTCGGGGGCTGCTGATCCGGATGCTGGTGATATTTCTCCACCTCCTCGGCCTCAGCATATCGGTCCCCCCGCTGCAAAGCCCTTATGTAGTCGCGGGGGGGGGGGGGGGGGGGTTCAATGATGAGGCTCCTTGAAAAGTTGCCGGTGCGGAGGACGGTTTGTAGGAGGGCCAGGAGGGTCCCGTCATCAGCACCGTCGACCTTGTCGGCCTCCGTCCTCCAGCGCTCCAGGAAGTCCCGAAGGGTCTCATCCCTCTTCTGGCGTATGGTTAGGAGGTGGGAGAAGTGCTTCCTCGTGCGACGCCTCCCGGCAAATTGTGTCAAGAATCGCTGGGCGAGTTCTTGCCACGAATCAATGCAGCTCTCGGGCAACCGGTTGAACCATTCATATGCCGGCCCCTCTAAGGTGGAGAGGAACCAACGACACAAATATTCGTCCGACGCCCCTACCATCATCATGTTGTTCTGATATTTGCTGTAGTGTTCCTTGGGGTCCGTCTTCCCGTTGTAGGGCTGTATGTGTTGCCCTCGGTATTTTTCCGGGATCCGGGCCGCCAATACCCTTGGGGTAAATGGAGTCTGGGTCCGTAGTTGGATGACAGGTTCCCCGGAGCCCTCGGCCACCTTCTTCTGTAATTCCTCCATTTTGGCCATCATGGCCTCGTATTTGAGATCTGCATGAGGGGTGGAGGTGGTGGCGTGAGCTTTGTTGGCCTCCATCTCATCAAGCCGGCGTTGGAGGGCCGCAATAATTTCGTCCCGGGGATCCTTCGGGAGGGTCTCCGCCCCCTGCGAACGAACCCGGGCCGAGTGGGCCTGGTTGATCTGGTGGCGAGCATCATTGGCATGAAGGGGTGCCTTGCCTTTGTCCCGGGGGGACGCTCCTCGTCTGCCCTCGAGACAGACCCTCCACTTTCCTGGGGCCTTTGGAGTGCCTTTCCTCCGAGGCGGTCTTGGACCCCTCGGCGGTCTGGCCCTCCTCCGAGCCGGTTGAGGGCGGAGGTGCGGGGCCGTATACTCCATCAGCTACGTACTAAACTGAGGAAGGACGACCAAACTCGCCACATCTTTTACAGCCGCAGATGTCCGCTCGCCGTCGACTGCCTCTCGTCTCCGTCACTGCCGCTCGTCTGGTTGTCTGCTACCGCTCTCCGTCGCTGCTCCGGCTCACCGCTGACTGCTACGGATCGCCGCCGTGCCGCGTGACTACTCCGGCTCGCTGTCGACTGCTCCGGCCCGCCGTCGCATAGATAAAGGTCAGTTCATTTTTTATTTACCTTTTTCGCGGAAGCACCTTGGATCGTATTCTGACCCCCTTCGCTGAAGCACTCCCAAAGTTTTGTTCATTCATCCAAGATTTTTCAATCATATCAGATCTGTTTTTTCTCTTAAGATTTTTCTAATGATGAACCCTTAAAGTATTAAATCTTAAATCTTTGAATTACATTAAAAAGGAAAACGGCGGCAATGTGAATGCTTGCGCCCCTCTTCTTTACAACTCAAGAATTGAAGAGGTTCAGCTTGTATCAATTTTGAAGATTTATTGAACTGTTAATTGTTATCCTTTGTTTCTGTTTTGACTTAGTGCTGGTTCTTTTACCTCTAGGATTCTTACTTGGACACAGAACCATCAATGTGCAGCCTCTCATAATCTATGAATGATGAATCTGGTTTACCCTAACTTTAGGGTTGCCTTGATTTAATAGTTATGTGAAATAATATATTTGACATACTTAAAATAGTGTTGTACTGTTGTTTGATTCCTATCATCATAGACTCATAGGTGATGTGTTTGTGTTCCTTTTTCAAAGTTTTATTATTTTCATTTTAACCCTAACAAAAAAGTGAAATATCTAACGTTTGTTAACTGGCCAATACTCCGTAACACCTCTGTTATCTCTGTAAGTTCCACAAAAAAGCCCCACCGCCTGTTTTGGTTTCTAAGGCTACATCAAACCCACCGATGAAACCAACTCAAACATGAACTAGATGACGACAAAGAGAAAGGCTATATCCCAATAAGCAGACTTAATGGGGTTATTTTCTTCCTCCTTCGGCTATATGGATTTCTCTTGATGGGGTTATTGAGGTTCACAACTCTTGAAATGTTGCGTATTGGAGTTATTAGTGAGGCGTGCATACAATCTACGCTAGGAATGTGTTTACGAGGTTTCAGATTTGTAGTCTTTACTAGTTCTGTTGTTGGTTTTTGTTTTGTGTAATATCACGTCAAAATAGGTGGCTGCAATATATACAAGGTAGATGGATTGCAACAGAGGTGAGGCTATGAGGTCAAAAGATATTGCTGAAAAGAGATTTTTAGCTAAAGATGTTATTGGTGCAAAGAAATTATAGAGCTTGATTGATAATACCTATATTGGTTGAATCAGCTGAATATGTTGTAAATGGTGAATTTAGGTTGAAATGATTGAATTGACTGGATGTGCTAAATTACGGAAAAACTATATAAAAATATGTTTTATTAATAAATAAAAAAATAAATAAAAAAATATGAAAATAGTTAAAATGTTCCTCTACATTAGCTTGAATCAATTAATTTCGAAAAAATAACTTCACCCTATTTATTTTCATCATTAAAGAATTTAACTCATGGAATAAAAAGTTACGTTTGTGGTTAAAAAAGATGATTGATAACCATATAAGTTGAGAATGAAAATTATAAAAGTTACCTAAAGTATACATATCACGCTTTTATGTCATTTTTGGGATTTTAGTATTTGATTAAATAATAAGTGTATCATCATATTTGAAATAAGTGTATCATCATATTTGAGCCATTTGTAGTCAATTATTAATTAATATGATCGTAATTAAGATTAACCGGTACATTTAAAAGTCATTTTATTTGTAGTAACCTATAAAAGATCGTCGTTCTATATATAGCAAGAAAATGAAGTACTTTCGAATGCGGAGTATGATTTAAGAAATTGCCCTAAATAAAAACGTGTGTGATTTCCAAATTAATTAGGATTGTTAAGTTTTCGTTCATTTAATAGAATAGTACACTTAAAAGTCAACTTATTTGTAGTAACCTACAAAAGGTCATCATTCTATATAAAGCAAGAAAATGAAGTACTTTCCGATACGGAGTATAATTTAAGAAATTGCCCTAAACAAAAACGTGTGAATTCCACACTAAGATTGTTAAGTGTTCATTTATTAAATAGAATTAATTACTATCATTTTTTGCATAATCGGACTTTAAGCACGGCAATATACATTTTTCAAGCGTAATAGTAATTATTCTTATTTAGAGTAAAAACATGATAGTGCTATTTTGAAATTTAATTTTTTTTAACCTCTATTTGTATATCAAAACTGGAGCTGGCGTTCACAGCATCACACCATCCAGATTGTATTTTTTGTGCGTGCCTCCTATATTCAACCTGTCCATTGAACTGTCGTTCTTATCTTTACAGGAATTGATCGAGATGGCAGATAGCCTTCAGAATAGACAGTTTAGCAACTTTCACAGGCGCTTTTGTCCGCAGACTTGTTCAAGAACAATGGTTTGTGTTCTTTCCAAAGATTTCAGTACCTTTTGTTAAATTTAATTCACAACAAAAATATAAGTGTGTATATATATGTTGAACATGAAATTAAATGGCCTGGATGCATTTTGAATTTCACTGGATTTTGCGAGGCATATGCACGCCTCTTTTGAGTTTCTCTGGATTTTGCAAGTCTTGTTTGGTGCATGCTGTTTACAAAATTGTACTGTATATTATAAGTTGTACTTCAATGAATGGTAAATCTCATTCACCCTTTCAAGTTTTAAGCACCACAATTTGTGTATAATTTTCTTTTATACATTCATTTCATTTCACTGAATCTGTATGTGCTTAACTGATAAACAACATATATGCTTTGTTTATGCGTGTGTTATTTGTAGTCTGATCTTTTCACGTTCAATTCCTCATTAGTTAACCCTTTTTTCTTGGAAAGGAAACCCCGATGTCATATATGAATTCTGAGCGGAGGGAGTTCTTGCAAAAAACTTTGCCAAAAAGTGTATTACTAAGAAATTCAGATATGAAAATTTGGAGCGTGGGGATAACACAAACTGAAGTTGGTGTTTACTTCAACTCAACAAGGGTTGGGAAGAGTTTATGGCCGACCATGGTTTAAAAAGTGGCCATCATTTGGTTTTTGAGTATGACGGTAAAGGTGTTTTTGACTTTTTGATATTTGACGATGAGTCAAATGTGAAGATCGCGGTTACAAAAAGGGTGAGAAAAAATGACAGTGGAAAGGCACTGAAAACTCTTCCGGTGGATTCAGGCCGCACTTCTATAATTCCAAAAATCAAGAAAGAAACAGACATGGAGGTTGGTGGTGATCATGGTGGCAAAAGGAAAGACGAAGAGAAGGAGGCGGTAGCATCAGATATGCCTGAGGTTCCACATTCGAAGAGTAAGTTTTAAGAGACACAACACATACAAACAACTTGTATTATATTTCTTATTGTTTACATGTTGAGCCTGTATTTTTGTAGTTTTATTTGTGAAATTTTCATTTGTTTATGTAAGGAGACGACAAAGGACAGATGGTTGTGCTGGGGAGAGAAAGTCCAAGGTGGAAATTAAGGATGTCCCCGACAATTATGGACTACTTGATATTTTCAAGTTTGGGCGTTATGCTCAACCAACAAACCCTTATTTTGTGACAAGAATCCATCGAGGAAAGCGCAATGACTTGGTAAATTCCAAACATTTGATATAAAAAAATGAGTAATGGACTGCCCTAGTGTTTTCACTAAATAAAAATAACAATAACATTAAATGTTTGTAGTACATTCCGATGGATGTGCTCGAGGATATCACATTGCCTCCATCTATAATCCTGTGTGACCCGAGAGGAAAAGAATGGAAAACGAAGACAAAGGTTTCGGGTGATGGGCGAACATGGCTGACTGGGGTTGGAGGGATCTATGCCGATGAAATCTCGTGGAAATAAATCATAGGTTAGTCTGTGAGTTTTTTCCCCAGGAGGGAGAGGACGTCGCGGTCTTGCATATCACCGCCATCATCCGAGAGTCTGCTTAACTTTTGATTTATGTCTTATGTTCTCTTTGCCCATATGACTATTAGCTCTGCGAGATTGATGGTTCAATTCCATTTCTTATTTCTATACAGTACTATGACATTGTTGCTTAATTTATGATACTTTCTTTTCCCATTTTAAAGATTCTAAAATTTCATTCTTCGCTGCTAATATTCTTCGGAGATCCTCCTATAGACTAAAGTAATTGCCTAGCCTATATTATATATATATATATATATATATATATATATATATATATATATATATAGAGAGAGAGAGAGAGAGAGAGAGAGAGAGATAGAACTTATCCTGTCCGAATGTTCGGACAGGAGGCACCATCCGAACAACGCCGTTCGGGGTGGTTCCCGATAGAATTTTTTGATGAAATATTTATGGTATGTTCTTCATCAAGTTTAGTTTATCCATACCAAATTTCAGCTCAAAATTCGATCGGGGAGTCCTTCATTCCCGGCTGCTTCATTCACGGCGGAGACCACTTTTGCGCCAGTTAGGTTTCGACAACACCTAATTCAGAGGGCAGAGAAGCTAGGCCCGATGACTTTTGCTGGGGCAAGTAGCTTGGAGTGATGGGCCTATAAAATAATACTCCATGTTTGATTTCTATATGTTCCTACATAGGATGATCATGGAGTCAAATTAAAGATAGATGGGACCATGAAATTATCAGCCACGCATCACACGTTAAAAATCTAAATTTGTAATTGGAAAAATTGAAAATAATAATCTCAACTATTGTCGGTGCGCTAACAATAATCCCAACTATTGATTATTTTTGTATAATCCCAACTATATGGACCATCCGTCAATAATGGTCCATGACCGCATATTACCTGCTCTAATAAGTGAATTTTTAATAGAAATCAAGAGTAAAAATTATAATTTGGGATTATTTATAGGGATTACCTGTTATATCTCTTTAGAAACTAATATGAATTTATTTATAGTCGGTTATGTCGGACCATTATTGGCGGAAGGTCCCTAAAGTTGGGATTATTTTGAAATAATCGATAGTTGAGATTATTATGAGCGGACCGCCAATAGTTGAGATTATTACCATCAATTTTTCCTTTGTAATTTTTGTTAAAATTTTCTGAAATTGCAGGGTAGTTCACCGGCTTCGACAAGTCACAATTGTGTAGCATCGATGTGAGGTTGTGCACGTTGTAACTATCACAATTGTGACACCTCCGCTCGCAGCCCGTCCCTCTGCTCGCCGCCCACAGGTTTTCCCTCCGCCCCAGTCGCAGCGCTGCTAGATGCCCACAGAACTTCCATTCACTGCCCAGTGGCCCACAAAATGCAACCTTCTTCTCTGGGGACGACGATCTGCGTCCTTACTTTCCGAAGAACTGAAAAGACAGGCGGTTTAAAGAGGGCTCGGTTGACGGGCCTTGCCATTTTTCCCCTTCCATTGGAAATAAAATACAGAAATTTGTATTGTCACAGGGCTTACGCACAAACAGGGCTACTTTCTACGGACAGGATAATCATCAGCGCAAACAAGTTGTGTAGCACTGCAGCGAGGTCATGCACGTCTGAAGTTATCACCCCATATGCTCGTACGCTCTGTGTCTTACCTTGTGCCCATACACCATGCTCGTACGCTCGGACCATGACGGATTGAAGAGGGAGATGACAGGAACACACGTCAGATGCAACTTTCCATTCACACAGAACACTCTCGACTGCCCGACGTCCATTGCGTACAAGAGATCTTGTTCTATAAAAACACCACTTAATTAGTAAAACATTGTTATGGTATGTAGATTCTAAAATATTATTCGTTCAAATTAATTTTGTACAGCATAATTATATATCGCCTTTCTTTAATGTGATGTATAAAGTATAAACTGCATGAAGTTATGAAGCTTTAACCACTCAAGTTCAGATTTTACTACCTTCCTATTTAAATAAAAAAATGTCAGATCATATATTAAAAAATTTATTTACTCGTTGTTGAAGCTACTTTCTTTCTATTGAGATCATTGCTTTAAATTTTTGCAAGCCACATCCGAAATGAAGGGGGTACGATCATGCCTATATTGCATTGAATGTTTATGATGGATTCTGATAGAAGCAAAAACCCTAGCAAATGATATTAACGTCTGCTCCAGCCTTAGACTCAAACCAAATCTTTATCTCTATATTCAAAAAATAGTTCACAAGATCTGACCTCCTTAAATACTCCTTAACCTAATAATAAAATATGGCCATCTAGGCCCAATAACCTAATAATAAAATACATGGTCATCTAGGCTCAGCATTTTATTAGAAATAACAATTGAATGAAAGTAACAAAACCCAACAGACAACCCAGCCTAATTAGGTCCACTGACAGCGACAATAAACTAATAACGGGCGAGGCCCGTCCTCCCGAAGCATCGGTCCAGTTGCCTCATCCTAGAGCCTCGGTCCATCTGCCTCCCACTCCCTAACAATTTCCTCCCCCTCTAAAACAACCTTGTCCCCAAGGTTGGAGTGAGGAAGCTGCTGTTGGGACTGCTGCACCCCCGGTCCATGTCGTATCATCTTCCGACTGACCAACCTACTACACCACACATGCTCCACATTTGGCCGCAATAAAGTGGCAGGTTCTTCTTCTATCACAACTGCCCAAAATTCCACGTCCCTGGTCCGAAGCAGGGCCTGTAGGTCCACCTGTTTCCGGCAGAGTGCCGGGTCTTCTCGTAATACTACCGGCCTGTCCTGACAGTCAAATGACATAGTCATTGTATCCCAATTGGTCCGGACCTCTCCCAAGGATGCTAGACATGCTACTCCCAGTATAACATCCACTCCTCCCAAAGGAAACACATAACAATCTGTTTGTACTTCGCACCCCGGTAGCAAGATCAACACCCCCTTGCAAACCCCTTCTGATTCTTGGCGACGACCGTCCCCTAGTTGTACACCAAACTTCCTCGTCTTTTCTGCCTTTAATTTGAGTCGTGGTACAAGGGCGGCTGAAATAAAGTTGTGACTTGCGCCACTATCCACCAAGATGGTCATTGTGAACCCCTCAACCACGCCTTTGAGTCGCATAGTACGAGAACTACAAATTCCCGCCATCAAATATACGGAAAAGTCTAGAGCCGCTGCTTGTTGCTCCTCTTGTTCCCCTAGCTGCTCGACCTCTTTGAATGGGATAAAAGATTCAGTTTGGTTGAGGTTGAGTTCCTCATCTTCCTCGACAACCATTACTCTTAAGTGTTTTAGGTGACATTCATGCCCTGGGGTATATGGCTTCTTGCAACGGAAACAAAGCCCTTTTGCACGTAGGTCTGTAAATTCTTGCGGTAAGAGGCATGTGAACTGAGAGCGATTCACCGACTGTTCAGTCATGGCTGATCCGGACCCCGAGGTACTACCTAGAGATCGCGAGGAAGTTGTGCTTCCCGCTGCCCCTTGGTTTCCAGCAACTGGCGTGGAAGAGAACCCTGAAAACCTACAACCTTTGGTGTAATAACTGGAACTGGACTGCTGATTGTTGTAACCCCGTTCTGATCTCCCTCCGGACTGTACGACCAAGTCGTCTTCGATATCTCTAGATAACTCCATAGCATCTTCCAAATCAGCCGGCCGTAGGATCCTTAAGGAACTATGAATGGTGTCTCGTAGCCCTTTCATAAAGTACCCCAAGTAGTGGGCATCACTCAAACCTGGGCCCCGACTGGCTAACTGCACAAACATATTCACATAGTCATCCACGGATCATGTCTGATTAACATCGGCCAACCGTTCGAACGTGCTTCCTTTGAACCGAGTATCAAAACGGGCTACAAGGGCTTGTGAAAACTCCTCTCAAGCTATGTCTGGTTTCCGCGACCGTGTCCAAGAAAACCAATACAAAGCAGGACCCTCCATTGCTACCATAGCTGACGCCACCTTCAACTCAAGTCAGGTCTGATGGATTTCAAACTGTTGATTGGCCCTTGTGAGCCATCCAATCGGGTCTGCCCCCTCGAACGCTTGTAGCGTCAGAGGCGCGGTCACAGACCTAGGGTTGTGGGAGTTCTACGAGTCAGCCGTGCCTCCTCCCCCCGACTCGGAATCAGCCAGCGGTTCCCCCGATGCCATAACCTTTTGCGCCAGTTTGTCTAGGGTTTGCGTGATAGCATCCAACTTGGCGTGACTCTTGGCGTTGGTGGATTGCACTTCTGACCTGATGCCCTTTTGTTCCGATTCTATCGCATCCATGCGTTGGTCAATGGTGGAATGAGTCATGATGAATGTAGGGTGGTGGATTGGATCCGGCAGGTTGGACCAAATTGATAGAAGTAGAAACCCTACCAGACGATATTAACGTCTGCCCCAGCTTTAGGCTCAAACCAAATCTTTATTCTCTATATTCAAAAAATAGTTCACAAGACCTGACCTCCTTAAATACTCCTTAACCTAATAATAAAATATGACCATCTAGGCACTGTAACCTAATAATAAAATATATTGCCATCTAGGCCCATCATTTTATTAGAAATAACAATTGAATGAAAGTAATAAAACCGAGTAGTCAACCCAGCCCAATTAGGTCCACTGACAGCGACAGTAAACTAATAACGGGCGAGGCCCATCTTCTTGAAGCATCGACCCAGTTGCGTCCTCCTAGAGCCTCGACCCATCTAGTCCCACTCCCTAACAGATTCAATATTTAATTACTCTCTTTGAATGTTCATGTCAGATTCACTGTTTTAAAACTTGGCTGAATGCTTACATGACTTTTACTAGCTATAAAATGCGTTTATTAGATCTCCTTTTACATCAGAGTAGTTTCAGGTTGAAAAGAAACAGCAAGTACCTAACTGATATGCACTAGTTTATAGTGCATAAACGTATGTTTTTATGTTGATTGAGTGTGGATTTTCCATCACTTTTAGTTAGTTTGTAAGTACTTGTTTTATTTTGTTTGTAATTGTTCTCTCCTTCTTTTCGGAGTTATAGAATAGTGATAGAGTTTGTCGCAAGGAAAAAGGGAGAAAAACTGAAGACAAAAAGACCCAGGAGCACAAAAACCCGACCGGGTCAGACCTTGAACCCGGTCGGGTCAGTTGAAGACCGGATCTAAGAAGAAAAAGTAAGACCCGGTCGGGTCCCTTACTCGACCCGGTCGGGTCAGATATTACCCGGAACACCAGAACATGCTAAAGATCACAAAGATTTGGAAAAAAATCTGATTTAGACCAAACCCGGTCGGGTCCCTCACTTGACCCGGTCGGGTCTGACTTGACCCGGGACAAATTAACGTGCTGGAACAATGAAACGTGGGAGATTATCTGATTTTGACCGGTACCCGGTCGGGTATGTACCTATACCCGGTCGGGTACCCGGCCAAAGGTGTTGAAAAACACCTATAAATAGCACTCTTTTTCTCCTCTAAAAATCATCCCTTCTTCCATACTCTTAAGCTCAGTTTAGAATAGCATTTCTTTATATTTCTCTAGCTATGTTTAGTCTCCAAATGAGGAGCTAAACTTCCATTCTTGGTGTTGCTCTTGAAGTTTGTTGATTATTAAAGTTGTGAGTTACTTTCTTAACTTCTTTCCTTGAATAATAATTAATAGTTCTTTCCTTAATACCATCTCTATATTAATGTTGGGGAGTGTTGCTAAGATGACAATTAGTTAATATCTCGACATTAGTTAGAATGGTATTTTCTTCCTCTATATTAATGTTGGGGAGTGTTGCTAAGATGACAATTAGTTAACATCTTGATATTAATTATAGTAGGATTCATCTTCATTAATAATATTCTTCCTTGAATATTAATTAATTCCTACTCTTATTTCATATTAATATTTTGAACATTACTTAAAGGATCAACTATTTTTGTTTCATATATTAATTATTACTAGAAACGATCAACGAACCGATGGTTAATCGTTGATGGTTTCACAAGTAAGTAACTTCGGTTTATTAATGCACGGTCGAGATTAATAAACTTAAGAGGGATTAATTTTGTTGGTTAAACCGAAACCGCTTGTGTTGAGGTTATCAATCTCAATTGATTTCATCAAGGAGTTAGAAAGATTAAATGCTACTATTAAATCGGTATAAGGCGTTGTTCTATATTTGATTAATAGTAAGGGTTATTAATGAACGGTCGTTGTTAATAACTACCCTCGATGAAGTGGATATACTCCCCGATTGAGTATACGATAGGGAATAAGTTATAGATATAACAATGATCGACTAAAATATATCAACAAGTGGAAAGTAGCAATGCCAAGTCCTTTTTATCTTTGAATTAAACACATATAGGTTGTTCATCTTAGTTCTTAATTAAATTAAATCACTCAATCCAAATCCCCCCTTTTTATTTACTAAAGTATCATAAAAAGAGAATTATTCCTTTCCCTGTGGATACGAACTCTACTTCACCTATACTACGTATAAGTGTTTAGTATTGAATTTATTTTGACGCACCGTGACAAAATGCTCGTCACTAACCTCGGTGGGGATTAACTAATCAGAAATATACTTAATTAAAATAGGCGTATATTGGCGAAATTCACAAAAATAATCTCTACTTTTAGGGATTCTACAATAATAATCCATACTGAGAGTATTCATAAAAATAATCCGAACTAGCAACAGGGTCCACAAGATCAGAATAAATTGAGGTAAATTAAAATTATTTCCAATTTTGTTCTCCCAAATCATACATCTACTTTCCCCTTCATGACTCTTCTTTTCGGGTAACACTTCTATCTTATATCCTAGAAAGAACCACATATGGCGGAAATGACATTAAAATTAAACGGGATTTAGTTTTAATTCACTTCGATAAGAAAGAGTGGTGAAGAGAAAAGTGAGAGTAGTGATTCACAGTATTAAACGAGCATTAATTTGAATTCACCTCAATTTATTCTTGTGGACACTATTGATAGTTCAGATTATTTTTATAGACACTCTCAGTAGGGATTATTATTGTAGAATCCCTAAAAGTGGAGATTATTCTTATGAATTTCACCATTAAAATATGCTTAAAAAAAGAAGTGCTGGTCTTTATTTCCAATCCTTTAAGTTTGATGTATATATAATAACTTAGAGGTCATTTGAGGTATAAATGATCTTGAATGTATGTGATTTGCAAGCAAGTGTGTTTTATTTTTTAATGACTCCTTGTAGTGTTTTTTATTTTTTAAAAGTAACCATACATAAAGAATAACCGTTCCAAATGAGTTTAATCCCCTAAATTTAGTCTGAAGAAGAATAGCTGAAAAATTAGCCTCAAAGAGTAAGAGATGTAGTTTCTGAAGGAGGATAGCAGAGAACTTAACATTTGTATCTTAAGTTAATAGCAAATTTCTCAAAGGGGGTTTATCCCCTAAACTGGGCACAATGAGAAACAAGTAACAGTTCCTTGTGAGCATTTTTTTATAATTTATGTTTTTTTTTTAATTTCTATGGTAGAAAACACAATTAGAGCAAAGGTTGTATGATCAGGTATGGGTTCCTGATTTCTAATATGATCATGAAGGATGATTGCCAGGTTATAGGTTATTTTCGTATATGCATCAAGTGATATCCTTCAACAATAGAACTAATTTAAATGAATTGTTCTTGTTAATATAAGCATATTGAGTAAGATGTATCATAAACTGCACATGATTGCTTATAGTGTTATATTTCATGTAAGCATACAGAAAGAGTAACAGTTCCTAAGGGGGTTCTATCCCCTATTTGGCATGAAGGAGACTGCAGAAACGCCTTAGCATCAAGGAGTAACATTTCCCGAAGGAGGTTAGCACAAATGTTTGCCTAAAGACATGTGATGGCAGAAAACTTAACCTAAATTTAGGTGTTTTGTCCCCTACATGTCATTGGGCATATATCACTTTAGCTTTTAAGACAGTAATGTTTCTTTATCGAGCTGTGCATCCTTTTAGTTTTGTGAAGCTCTAATATATGTCTAGGCTCATATAGAATGCAACACTTGTACATATCTGCCTTTTAGAACTTTTATGCCTCTAGGTAGACGATTAACTTTCTCCAAATGGTATATTGTTTTTTTATTGTAGATTGAAATGGAGCATCATGAGGCAAAAAGGTACATACAAAAAGCCAAGCGTAATTGATGGATGTTTTGCCATTATGTCACTACATAGAAATGTTCTTCCAATAATGTGTGGAAGACATGTTACCAAGAAAGACAAATAATGTGTGAAAGATAGTGTACCAAGAAAGACATCGCTAAGGCGAAACAGACGGAACAATCATATTACAGGAACTTCAAATGGTGTGGATACAATTTTGAGTACTTTGAGAAAGGAGTTGTAAAAGGAAAATGATAAAAGAGCTGCTGGAATAGAACAAATGTGGAAGGGAAGTGAGATTAATAAACAAAAAATGAATTTCATTCCAGCAAAACTTGTTTGCGTGATTCCTATAATGATATTATAGGAAATCATCATCCATATTATGAATTTTGAGCACTTTGTAGTTACTATTAGATATATTATTTGATATTATGGATCAGTTTTTATTAATTTGCGCAATTTTACTTTTATAGGTAATGATAAATTCTTCATGTGTTTAAGACATTGTTTCACGCATAAATGGATTGGGTATCTCTTCATTAGTCATTATGGTTATTTTAATATTATTATTGTATATAAAAATTCGTGTTGTAGGCAGGTTGTAATGTTGTATTATTTCTAAACGTGCAACCTAAATTTATCAAAAATTTATTACAAAATGTATAATATAAGCGCCGCATAATCCAAAAAAGAATGTTGCTTATAACTCTAGAAAAGTGTTGCGTGAAGTACTTATCAAAATGTTACATACTTTAATTAGTGTTGCGAAATAATATAGCAAATATGTTACACACACACACACACATATATATATATTAAAAAATGTTACCTAAAGTCATATCACAAGTGTTGCATTCAATTACAAAAAGTGTTGCATAAGATGCTTGTTAAAGTGTTGCAAAAAAATGTTGCATTTGGGATATTTATGCAACATTGTACTTCTATTACATGTTGCATAATATGATGAAAAGTGTTGCATATGACTTTATGCAACGAGACCTGAAGTAACGCTGATAAAAGTATTTCATTAGCTTTTTGTAACAAGTTAATGATGTAATGTAACACTTTTGAGGCGTTGCCAAAGGCTTATTTTATTGTAGTGTTCATTCTCGTAATTTTTTTTCTATGATTTGTTGACTTGTGTTCAAAATTGAGATTCAAAATGAAAATCGCATTAGAAGAAGCTTATGGGGCCAAATACAAAGCTGACCCAATCAAATAAATAATATATTACTACCTCCGTCCCGGAATTATCTCCTTATTTGACTGGACATGAGTTTTAAGATAGTGGGAAATGTGTGGTGAAGAGTTGTGCAGAGGAAAGAGAAATGTGTAAGAATGGTTGTGAACCACAAATTCTTTGTCAAAAAAGGAAAGAGGAGATAAATTTGGGACGGACCGAAAAGGAAAGAATAAAGATAATTCCGGGACGGAGGGAGTAATATATAAATAAAAAGATAAATAATGCAAATGAACATAATACAATATATTCCTAACAATAACCTTGTGTGTTATGCGGCTAAAAACAGAGAGTACCAAGACTTCCACTCTGAAGGTTTAATATCATCGTCGTGGCATTACACAGTCATATTGCCATTATCGACACATAATGACTTCATTAAGCTATATTTACATTATCTAACACTCATCATAATTAATACTACGTACAAATTTGTCATCATAATTAATCTAAAAGTGTCATCGTCAAACACTAATGGCATGTTGTTCAACATAAAAAGTGTCACCTTGATTAATAAAAAATGACATCTTACATGGCACAAAATGTCATCTTACAAAGCACAAAATTACATATCTTCTCCATAATGCAACATTGATAAGTAAAAAATGGCATGCCATCTGAATCCATGTCGTGCACCGCAGCAGAAGACAACCCCACTTAACCACCACCTCATTGAGTTTCTGAGCAAATCCAAAATTGGAACAAGGAGTAAGAAGAGGAAAATGGAGAGATCGAGAGAAGGGTGGGAGTGACGAGTCAGAATAGAATTGGAGCACCAGAGAAAAGGGGAAGAGGAATAGTTGATCCAATTTTTATTATTGTAAAAATGGCATTTAACAAACATACAGAAATAAGGATAGTAGGGGATAGCTCCTATTTAGAGAATAATCTACCAACACGATCATATTGTTGCTTTTAGACAACATTTAAATCTTATTTTGGACAATTTCTCACTATTAATCTTACTTTAATAAAAGAATAAGGATGTTTTGACTTGATTGTTTTGAGTCTCATACTAGACTTGATCATATCAAACTTAAATAAACCAAATCAGATAAAACAAGACCAGACTCAGACGTTTACAAAACCAAATCAATTCCTATCAAACCAGACCAAAAACTTTTAATACAATTAAAAACATCCTTTTCAATCTCGTAATTTCACACTTTCACCAAGTCAAGAGCCGCCCTAGGCCAGCAGGGCCCCCAAAGGCTAAAATTGAAAACAAAGAAAAAAAGTCTTTCTATGGTACTTGCCTTATTTGTAAGTGTACCGATGCATTTTGTTGAATAGTCCACTAAACAAATTACACTTGTGCATTTTCCAAAAGGTGACATGGCATAGTTTGATTGGCTTACAAAAATTGTGTACCCGTATATCGTAAATTAAAATACTAGTCGGGAGAATAATATAATGGAATTAATTCTAAGAGATAGGATTGTGAATAGATTTGCCTTAAGTAGTCTTAAGAGATACTTTAAGGTTGAAGTGAATGAACACTAAGGTGTGTTAGGGGTAAGCCTAAAGGCTACCCAAGTGGGTTGATTCAGGACATAGGATTTGCTTGAGAATTGGACTACGAAAATGGATTAGAATCGGACTCTAGGATTGCATGGAAATGTAGTTGGGCCGAGCACTTGCCATGTAACGTGATTAACATGTGATTACACCATATAATTTTCCCAATGACAAATCTTAGTAGCCCACTATCAAATGAAAAGTTTATATATTATATCTGATCCTATTGTTAACCATGTCAATCAAACTAGCTTACAAAAATGGAATTTGTAGTCCAAGACTTTCTGACTAGTTCAATTATTGCTCTAGCGATTGGTTGTTTCTATGTAACTTTTCATTGTTTCCGTAGCCGATCTAACAAGTTCGAGAAACATAAGCTACCGCCGGCAGCCGGCGGAGGGAGGCCAGTTTTGGGCCATCTCCACCTCTTCAGAGGCTCCGTCCCTGCACACGTGGCCATCGGAGACATGGCTGACAAGTACGGACCGGCGTTCACTATCCGGATCGGCTTGAAGAGAGTGTTGGTCGTCAGCGACTGGAAATGGGCCCAAGAAATTTTCACTTCCCACGACGTTAGCGTTTCGGATCGTCCGAGGTTTCGCGCCGCCGAGCACTTGGGCTACGGCTACAAGATGTTTGGCTTCGCACCCTACGGCAGTTACTGGCGAGACCTTCGGAAACTCACCTCCACGCAGCTTCTCTCCCACCGGCGGCTTGAGCAGCTGAGCCACGTCAGAGTCTCCGAGGTCGAAACCTCCGTCAAGGAGCTTTATAATCTTTGGAGGGAAAAGAACCCCGCCGCAGGCGGCGGAGATGGCGGCCCGGTTTTGGTGGAAATGAGGAGATGGTTCGGAGACGTGACAATGAACGTGTTCCTTCGGATGATCGCGGGAAAGAGATGCTTTGGGGGGACGGCGGAGATTGGCGGTGATGACGACGGCCGCCGTTGCCAAAGGGTATTGAGAGACTTTCTTCACTATCTTGGGGTTGCTGTTCCGGCGGATGCCCTGCCGATCTTGGGATGGTTAGATCTCGGGGGGTATGAGAAAGCCATGAAAGGAGTTGCTAAAGAAATGGACTCTCTCGTTGACCAGTGGCTACGGGAACATCGCCGCCGGCTCAAAGAAGATGCAACCGGTGCCGCCGGCGGCGGCGGTGAGAGAGATTTTATGGATGTCATGCTTTGTAATGGTTACGATTCTGACGATACAGCCATCAAATCCACTTGCATGGTAATTCGCACTCCATGAGTCAGTTACCTCCTCCCATAATTAACTCGTTAATTGACTTAGCAGTAATTAAGAAAGTTAAAAATGTGGCTTTAAATGGTTACCCCTACGAGTATAAGCACTAACTATTAACTTTAGAGTAACTTTAGCAATTTCATTAAAAAGGTAACTTCAAATTTATTTTGTTTCTATTATTAAATAAAAAAAGTTAAGTATTTGATGAAAAAGATAAGGTTGATAAGTCAAAAAAAGGCTTAAACAAATGGGCTATTAGGATATTTTTGACACAACAAAGATAATTTTATAAGCTTTGTAAAATTGACTGTTTAATTTAGTTGATTTTAAAAAAGGTAGTTAGTTGTTTGATATAAAGATGACTGTTTAATTTAGTTTTGATTTAGTTCTGTTTGATATACTCATGATAGCATCTCAAAACATTTTTTTTATTTTTAAAGGAGTTCTTAAAAATTAGCGTGTCAAACGTACAATTAGAAGTTTTTAAAGACTTTTTAAATAGTTCTAGAAACTAAAAGACAAGAACTTATATATGTCAAACATGCACTTAATAAGTATCTCAAGCTTAATTTAGTTCATTGTATAGCACTTTAAAATGTCGAAAAAACTACATTTTAATGACAACTGTGTGCGACTGCGACTCTGCGAGGCTAAATTTTATTTCACTAATCAGGATTAAATAATTTTGACTTCTTGGATGTTACGTTGTCCGTTCAACAAAAATAGGTATGGCATTGACAATGAAAATATGTGCCACCAAACAACTCTTAAACCAAAACCAAACATATATAGAGTGATAGAAGTATAAAACCCTTAATTTGATTGATCGTATAGTATGAAATCTAAAAAAAAATTAAGTGAACACTTTCTTTTTGTATAATAAAATGAACCACATCATTTTTTGGGATGTTCAAAATGATGGTCATGTTTCCCCTTTTGAAAAGAAAGATGTGGTTCATATCATTTCTCACTTTATTATACTCAAATCTTAATCACAACTTTTACCTTTTCAAACACTTTATTAAAACTTGTTCCCAAAAGAAATGAGACCATCAAATTGGGACGAAGAGAGTATTTAGTTTTATTAAACTAATAAACTTTTGTGAAAAAAAGTTTATCAAAAATTAGCAATGAAATTAATAAAAATTAATTAAAGTAAAACCTATGAAATGGTAGGTCCTATATTGATAATTTTCCATCATTTGGTTCGTCATATACCGATATATTTCATCTTTCCGATCCCGAATTGATAATCATTCATCTTTCAGGTCTAGAATTGGTAAAATTACAATATTATAATCTCCAAATAATACAATTAAAAGTTATTGTTAATACGTTGCACAACATTTTCATACTACATTTGTATGAACTTTCATACTACTGAGTGTTATAATTTAAAACTTTTCGCAATAAAATGCATCGTCACTATTTGCCAAAAAAGAATTCAACCGTGGGGTAAAGTATTTCAACAATTCTGGGTATACACCTTCTTATACACATTAATACACTCTCGTGTTTGTGAGAGTTTTTTTTACTTGTGAATCTCAGTCCACGGACAAAAACTGCTTGTTTTGTCTGCGAAAAATTCTACAGACAAAACAAGCATGTTTTTGTTTGTGGGCTGGGATTCACAGACAAAAAAATCCTCACAGACACGAGGATGTACTGATGTGTATAAGAAGACGTACAAAATGAATTTTTGAAAGTATTTTAGGACAGAGAATTAAAGACAGACAATTCTTTGTACATTTTGTCAAACTAAACATTTTAGTGACGCGAGTCCGCATACTTTTGTTCTTATCCAGAAATGGGGCGTTAACCAATTTTGCTCCTTTTCTTACTTCTCCATTTATGAAATACTCCGTATATGTGTATGAATAAATTTTATCACCTTTATACCCTTCAACATTTCCCCATTTTAAAGTAGATTTAGGAGTGCTTATTTGGTCGGGTATAATTTGATTTGAATGAATCTGATCTAGTTAATTTTAATATCATATGTTTTGGATGGACCAATTTAAGTATGATCATCAATTGAGATCAGAATTATATGTGTTTTATTACAATATCAGTTTCAATTAGTTTATTTCTAGTCTATTTAAAATTAATGTGACTCATCATGATGATTAAATATATAATCATCAGCAATTTGTTTTAATGTCATTTTACAACATGAACAGTCGTTACTTTCGGGAGGAGCAGATACGACCATGGTAATGCTTACATGGGCTCTTTCATTGATCATAAACAGCAACCACGTGTTGAAGATGGCTCAGCAAGAGCTAGACAGGGTGGTGGGCAAGGAAAGAAGAGTTAACGAATCAGACATCAATTCTTTAGTATATCTCCAGGCCATAGTCAAAGAAGCCTTAAGGTTGTACCCTGCTGCACCCCTAGGGGGACCAAGAGTGTTCAGAGAGGACTGTACCATCCACGGGTTTCATGTCCCAAAAGGCACGTGGCTTTACTTGAACATCTGGAAGCTCCAACGGGACCCACACCTTTGGTCCGACCCTAATGATTTCGAACCGGAAAGGTTTATTTTTAATGATAACGGTCACAATAATGGTTTCGAGTTGATCCCATTTGGTGCGGGTAGAAGGGTGTGTCCAGGAGTGGCATTTGGGCTGCAGATGCTGCATTTGGTGCTTGCTAATGTATTGCATTGCTTTGAACTTTCAACTTCTGCTGCAATTGATATGAGTGAGAGTTTTGGACTAACGAATCTTAAAGCCACCCCACTTGAGATTCTGATTTCACCACGCCTATCTTCTTCCTTGTATTAGCCAGCCAGTCACATATGATGGGTTGTTTGTATTAGCAGAAATATGGATCATTGATGTGAATAATAGTGGTATGTATTGTGTAATGGTATATTAAATAAATTAAGATTGTTTAACTTAGCTATTCAATTTGACTTGTACACGAGTTGGAATGTGTTGTATATATGAGTTAATGTCTCAAATAGGACTAATGGCAAAGTTAATTGCACATATAGGACTATAAACGAAGCCCAAGTTTCATAGGAACATTTCAACTTAGTTGGACAAAAATAACCCTATTTTATTCTTTTTTGAATATGAAAATGAAAAATAAAAAACTGTTGAAACCTTAAATTGTAAAAAAGCTAGCAGTAGCATGCCAGAGTCGGAGCCGCCCGCCGCCGCCGACTGCCACTACCCTCGCCGACGCCGTCGCCGCTGCCAACAGCCTCCACCCCGACCGTCGTTCTGGCTAGGCCTCGCTGCATCCCTGACGGAACATCGTTGCCGTCCGTCGCCGCCCAAACGGCGTCGCCATCCGCCTCCGCCGCCGCCATCCTATCCTCGTCATTGTCGCCAGTGTTCAATCCAGGGCCACTACTTCACCTCCGAGCACCACCACCGCAGTTAATTGCCATTAAGTTGACAGATTCAACCTTGAAGAGTACTTACAAATCTCCCTTGAGAACAAATTTTTAGATCCGCCATAAATTTGGCATATTTATCTTCACTGATTTACACACAACTGCCATAACCTTGGCAAAATATGAAGTCCACAACTAAATTTTCAAAAAACAAAAAAATAATAATTGAACAATAAATTTGGCAAAATCGTATATCATCATCCAAAAAGTGTTTTGCCATAATATGATTGTCATGGTACATTTCTGCCATAAATTTAGCAAAATCTTATATCATCATCCAAAAATATACCACAAACTTGGCAAAATCGTATGTCATAGTCCAAAAATATGGAAAACTGGTTTTCTTTTATAATCAAGAAATCGAGAAACATAAATTTGAAATAGAAGTCCAAAAATCCACAAATCGAATGTCAAAACTAAAAAATTAAGAAATCTGAAACAAAAAGTCAGAAAATACAAAACAAAATTCCTAAAATTGGCAAAATCGGTGTCAAAACCCATGAAAACATAAGAATATGAGGAAAACTATAAAAATCAGTGGCAAATCTCATTTAAATAGAGGAATATGAGAAGGAGGGGAAGGGGGAGGAGATCGGAGGAGGAGGAGGAGGAGGAGGAAGACGAAGAAGAAGACGAAGAAGAAGACGAAGAAGAAGAAGAAGACGAAGAAGAAGACGAAGAAGAAGACGAAGAAGAAGAAGAAAAAGAAGAAGAAGACGAAGAAGAAGACGAAGAAGAAGAAGACAAAGAAGAAGAAGAAGAAGAAGAAGAAGAAGACCTGTGACAGTGCATGGCCAAGTCGGTAGTGATGACAACGGCCTGAGGCGGGAGAGTCGGTAGTGGCTGCAATGTACGAAGAAGATGGGATGGGAAGAAGATGGGATGCAGTTATATCTTTGGGTGTGGAGAAGTAATCCTCGATCTATGAGTGGGAAAGGGCAGAGAGAATGTGTAAATGGGTTCAAGGGCAAACCTAGGATGCTAATTTTCATGTTTTTTTCGGTAGGAGTAAATCGGTCCTATTAAGGGAAGAAAACATATCAAGTCTTATTTTTTAATTTCACCTTTGTTTTAGTCCTATATGGGGCAATTATAAATATGACGACATGAAGTATAGGACCGATTAATCCTAGATAGTGTTGTTCTTGTATTGCAATTGCACTTTTTGTTATTCTATTTGATCGATCATGTTTACGTGAATAATATGTGTGATGCATTATATTTATACAATACATAGACTTGAGAGAGATGTGAGCTAGGTTGAATGATGAATAGTGTGTACTCGATAGGATGAAACTTTTACAATGCAAGGTTATGTCTATCCATATAATAGATTCCATGGGATACATGAGATGTTAGTTTGAACATCCATGCTCTAAACAATATTTAGATTCCATGGGATACATGAGATGTTAGTTCGAACATCCATGCTCTAAACAATATTTATCACAGGTGCTTCACTCCCTTAGGTGAAAGCACTTGAGACGAAAGAGAGTAGTTCGTAAATGCATTTACTACATCTTTTTGTCCTTGTAGTCCTTCTCCTAGTTCTGAAGACCCTCTGTCCGTGATGGGGAAATGTCTCGGTAAAAACCTTATTGCAGAAAAATCCAGCGGAAAATCATAATGAATGCAAAAGGGTATATCGAACGCTCCCAAAGTGATCGCAAAGAGGAAAAATCTCCATTGTCATCTATTGTGGCCTTCCTCGTCATGCAACCATCTCACGCTCGACTTCAACTATGACAATCCCAGCCTTGTCATGCTAGACCTCAATTATGACATTTTCAACCTCGTCCATGTCAGCCCCAACCTCACTTAACCTTCAGCTTCATCATCATCCTTTGTGCAGGATCATCTTTTGCATCTTGGGAGATGGCAAGTTCTCTAGTCTCCCACTCATTGAGGTGAGCGAAGGCAGGGTGAAAAGATCTGGGATAGTTCTCATCAGTGGTTTTTAATTGTACCCTCAGTTCTAAAAATCCTTCTAGGCGTCCGACTAATCCCCGCCTAGGCTAGGCGGTGGGTGGGCATTAGAAACTTATTTATAAAGATTGAAGTTTTTTCCTGAGTATTTTGTAATTTGCTTGAGTAAACTGTTGTATGTCTCGATAGTGGATACTGAATATGATACTCTCGATACTTCAGTAGAATTGTACAAGCTACTCTTGTTTATGTTCTAAAACCAGTAGTGAAGGCCATAGGCCGGTAAGCAATACAAAATTTGTTATTACTATAGTAGGGGGTGGGGTGGTAAGGTATAGGGGTACGGGGTTGGGTGGGGTAGTGGGTGGGTTAGGGTGGTGGTTAGGGGTAAGGGTGGGGGTATTAAGTAGGGTTGGGGTTGGGGTAAGGTAGGGGTAGGGTAGGGAGTTGGGATAGGATGGCGGTAGGGTGGGGCCGGGATCAGGGTGGGGTCGAGGTAGGGGAAGGGGTAGGGTGGGGCCGGGATCAGGGTGTGACACTCCAAAAAAAAAAAAATAGTTTTATTAGTGGGATAAATTATTACAAAAGAGAGATTTTAATAATCGAGTGAATCAGACAAAACTTCAAAAATTATGACAGATAAAAATATTTCAACGATGGAAGTAACATTTATATGATAATTACTAGATGAAACTTGGAGTTAATAAGGCGACGACATTTTGGCAGGGTCGGTTAGTACAATTTACCCCAAAAGGCAAGGGTGTACTTTTCAACTAAATTTATAATAGTGACATTTACGAATAACTTATGTGCCAAAATATGTATATTAACATTCATATAAATATATATATATAAAAATACTCCGTAATAATAAGACATGCGAACTAACAAAGGCAATTACTTTATATTACTCCGTATACCTTAGATGAACCTACGTACCATACTATTGCTATAAAGTAGTATAAACCTACGCATGGAGCATATCTTTAACTAAGGAAAGTTAGTAAATAAAAATCAATGCAAAAGATCTTCCTAATAAACAAACGGTCGAAGGGTTCAATGTAAAGGCCGGGTAACGTACTACCTACAACCTTCAGCCACTCCCCATAAATAGCACCAAGCGGACGATGACCTACATCACAAAGAAAGGAACGAAGAAAAGAGGAAACGAAAGAAAAGAAAGAAAAGAAGAACGAGCGGGAGAAATAGTATAGAGAGAGTGGGAGGGAACTATAGAAAGACCGGTGTTGGAGGTATACGCTCCTAACAACCGCAGCCGCTGTCATCTCTTAACACCATCCCCGTCGAAGGAAAGGCACGCCGGAGCAGCAACCTTTTCACCTCAAACAAAGAAACTCTAGACACTGCGAGCCTGCAACCGTTTCTGCAAGGAAGAGGGAAACTGCAGCAGTTAAGGAAGAGGGAGCCTGCAACGCCACAGGAAAACGAGCAGCAGCAAGGCTCGCCGGAGGAAGAAGAGGAAACCGGAGTCGTTGCCGCCAGATCACACCGTTGCCGCTGAGCGTCGCCAGCTGCATCTAGACCTCTCCCTCACCCCTGCTCGCCGTTTTCGCCGTAGTTAGGAAGTCCGGGACGATTCCCTGTTCCGTCGAAGGAAAACAACGTACGGTAAGTACTAAGTAGTTACTGCTTTACGCTGCTACGTACCATTTAACTTGGTGTTGGGTTCAGAGTTTTAAGATTTGGGCAGAAAATGATAAGTTGGGCCAAAATCTTTAATGATTGGGCTGATTAGTAATAATAATAATAAAACAAATATAGGGACTGGGTATTTCTTTCAAACTGAAAATAGAAATAATAAACCGGGACTTTAATTGGCAAACTGGACTGAAGTTTTAGCTATAATAATAAACTAATGCAGTGACCTTCGTAAATTGGCTGGGTTGATTCTATAGTGATGTGAATAGCGATATTAGTAAATAATAATGAATATTAATAACTAAGTAGGAGGAGGATTTTGAAATGAGTTGAGACGGAGTATTATTTAACTTTTGTCATATTGGTCACTTTTAGGATAATGAAAATTTACATTTAGAGAATGATTGCTTATTAATAATGGTTTATTTAACCAAAGTGTATATTTGAATTGGAAGTACTTAAGGTTTAATCAATGATTATTGAATCCATCGAAATATTAGAATTACTAATACGGAACAGTTATTCGGATTGAAAATAGAGCAAATTAATGAGTATAGGACTCGGTGATTAAAAGTGAAGATATAATGATTCAAAGTATTATGAAGTGCTCAAATTAATGGCTTAAAATAATAATCTTAATACCTATGTAATAATTATTACTCGTCACTTGTTTTTATACAAAATAAAAATAAGGGGATTAAAAATCTTAATGGTTAGTTTAAAATAAAATATTGACCATTTCTAATTGAACCGATTATTTATAGGGATTATGGAATGAATATGTATAATAATAATAATAATAATAATAATAATAATAATAATGATAATAATAATAATAAAATAGGAATTTGACTATAAGTTAATTCGATATTGATTTTTGAATTTTAAATAGAAGGTCATTTGAGTGAGGAGCAAAGTAGAAGTCTTGACTAGGAGTACTTGGAGTTCGAGGTAAGTCACATTGCAACC